TAAAAAAGCAGTGCAGCCAGACGGCTACTTTGTAGCCACGTGTTCATTGTTTGTTTGTGTACAGAGTGACCTTTGCCATTTCACTGTTTCATTTCAAGTGTAACATGGTGCGTGGTCCTTGACGCAGTGCGTGTTCTCTGCTCGACTACACGCCATGAATGTCGCTAGCCACGAATCTCAGAGGCACTAAAAAAACGTCCTGTAATCGTGTTCATTGGAAAACAAAACAAATCACTAATAAATTTATGAAAACAGCTCCTTTTTGAATCGATCTAAAAGTACTCTTTTAATTCGCGCACCAAAAACCAATAATTTCCGTTTTTACGCTATTAATTCGTGCATGAATTATTTTTACTACCGCGAATTAATCGAGTTTTTACGGTACTAGTTTTTTGGAAAAACAATGTTGTTTATTCGCTGAAATCAATTCCAACAGATCATACTTCGATATCGATAATTCACTTGCACATTGCGTTACCGAAAGTCTTCGTGAATTTCCAAAGAATTGCGTCAGTACAACACAGCATTCTGATTGGTTAATAACCAACTTGACCCATTAGGTCAAAGGATGCTGCTGCAGGTCAAATATGCAAATGGGTCATGGCGGAAAGTGATTTTCACCGAGAGTTTGCGTACGATCCAACACCTTTGTCAGTGGAGATAATATGACAATTTTGACTTTGACTGTTTCAACAGACTCAAATGTTTTTAATTTCGTAAATTCTGGTGGTACGTAATTAATATTGTAATAAAATGTGCATATTTTTTGTGATCATTTCTGTTTCTTCATTGTGAAAATCAATGACGACTCAACTAATTTTGTAATTTGATTTTCCCTCAAAGACGTAATTTGTCACTTGATGAATCAAATTTTTTATTTGCACTCTTTTTCGAGGGGGTTCTTGGGTGCCCACCCCTAAAAAATCGTGATTTTCTGAGTTGAGGACTCTGGGCGCTGACGCGGTCGAGTATGGTAAATATGCACAGATTTAAACTTAATATAGCCAAAGCTATATGCATTGTTCCAAAGACATTGAATTCTGCTGAATGAATTCAGCAATCCAACCTACCTTAAGTAGAGAACTGAACTTGTAACAGCCTATGTTTTGATCACTTCAGCAATCAGATCACATGATCAAATACCAACTGGCAGGCCAACTCAGATGAATGGATAAATAAGTGTAAATTTTAATACTTACATCACAAACTGTACAGTGATATCTGGTTTCCACATGGTGTTTGCACGTATTACAAGTGTACACAAATCTATCCTGGCCTTGGTTATGAAGTTCTACAAGCATGGCCATACTTGACCACCGGGCCCTCCTCAGTGAGGAAAATTCATAATGTTTTTCTCTTGCTATTGTTAGGAAGGAGTCTCTTCCATCCATAAGATCACATGTAATAACAGGATCCGGGTCAGATGTATGTGGATAACTACCAACAAGTTGAAGTCTGATAACAAAAAACACCTAGTAGAGGGAAAAAATGCACCAGTTATCATTACTTGAATTGTTGGCTTGACTGTACTCAAGTGTGTGCTAATAAACAGGTGTACCCATGGACTCTATAGTAGAGCATGTTGTCACAAATATAACAAATACCTTCGCAATAAATAAGCACACACGTTTTTAACAGTAAAAAAGAGCACCAGTTAACAGGGCAAAGTGTGTAACACTGACATACATCACAATACTTCGTCTATGCGTGTCAGAGAGAAGCACATATGCAAGCCACAATTGTTCATTTTAGCGGAACATAGTATGATTGTCATAATAGATTACTGCTCACCTCTTTATGCTTCTCCATTGTTGCATACAGTTTCTGTGAAAGGCTATTGCCCTGCTGTGGAAAGTTTGATTTTTTATTGTTTTTTCGACTACTATTGCTTTTGCTTTTGCTGGTTTTCTTAGCCTTCTTTTGAGCTTTTTTGCTGCCAGTCTTGCCCTGAAAGATAAAAAACAAGCCATGGCACAGTCCCTGTTAGTTATCAAATTTAAGATATATAGTTTTGTTTATAGTTATATAAACATGTCAGAAGTATGGATCCAGACGATGATGAATTTTTAACATTGATTTGAATGACATCTTGTATCTGATAGTCAAACGAGTACTTGTCCATATTAAGAAATATTGCTCTGGAACAGCAATAATTAAAAAAAAAACATAGTTGAACTCTGGTGACCTTGCCCTTTGTTATATAATATTATTCCCTTTATCATAGTTTGTTTCAATATGAATATGCATTGTCATAATTAATTTTAAAAACAAACAAGTTTTGGGGTTGAAATAACAGTGGGAAAGCAGTTTACCGAATGTCCTTGATAGATGTAAATATCTTACAAAAACATTGGTGTCTAATTTGTTTAATTATTTTAAGGGACATAATTTCCATCTTTATTCAAAGTAATTCAGATTTTTTATTATAAAAACAAATGCTGCATCTCAGAAAAAAAGTGCTTCATAAATCATGCAAGACACCAGAAAATCTTAGCTGGCAGTACAGGTGTCTGTCAAAAATTAATTCATGTTTTTATTTCAAGAAAAAACAGCTTTTTAAAAAATGATTTACAAGTAACTGAAATCCCAGGAATGTGCACTTCGGCTAAGCCCCTCTGAGCCGAAATAATAACATTTGTAATTAGTTTAATCTCACAAATAAACATCCCGTGTACGCGTTCGGTCAAATGACCTGATTCACTCACTGTTGCTGTAAGTTCATCGTATCGGTTTTCTCTACTACTAGTATATATTACTGTTCATTTATTTTGTATTGACTAAGTTTATTTTGAAATATGGCATGGGGAAAAAAAAAATTGGAAAAATAAATATTAATGACCTCATGAATATTAATTAGCCACCGGCACTCAAATCAGGCTGGGCAAAACCCTGCCTAATATTCACATTTTTTGATGTTACAGGCAAGGTAAAAATGGAATACAAGTGCATATGTGTCACATTTGAACATGAATTGGTCAAGGCATGTCCAGAGATATATATATCTGCAACAGATAAATCTGCGATATTCAATAAAATAGATGAATCTGCCAATAACAATAGCTTACCAGGTCACTATCATCATGTTGCAAGGAGACTGCTGCAGCAGCTTCTGCCATTTTTCTTTCTTCTTCTTCCTGATCTAGCTCTTTGATACTCTCTTCTAAAACATTTGGCCAGAAGTCACCTTCAAAATAAGGCAATTCTTTGGCACTTGTAAGGTTATCATCATTTGCCTGCCTCAGAATATCCTGTGGAAATCCAAAAACATTGACAATACATTTATAGAGGAAATGTAAGAGACCTATATAATGAAGCCAGCTTAATTTTGCAAGTATTTATTCCTACAGGTCAGAGAAAAGGAAAAGCTGAAAACAACCACCAATTTACTTTCAGATTACAATACACACTATGTTTCTGGCAACATAATATTGGCAACCAAAGTAAGCTTACCTTGAAATCCAAGACCACTTTATCTGAAACTGCTTTATCCAACATCTTCTTGTACCATTCTTGTAATCTCTTTGGTTTAGGTATTTTTTGTTCAGGTGGATGACAATGGAATATGTAATCATCGCCCTCACTTGGTGGACAAGCCCAGATATGTGCCTGTTCAAAGCTACAGATTAACACAGAATATCAAAACACTTAAATACTTGATCATAGCCTTATATTTATTATAGACAATAATTTGTTTGTCATGGGCTTCAACTAAATGTCACAATCAATCTGATTAGATTCGTTAAATAGCTAGAAATCATGACTACACCTCCTTTGCTGAATGGTTTCGCGCTAACTAATACCAGCACTGTCCCTTTAATACGGTAAAACAAGCAAACAGTACTAGCAGATATTGTTATTATTAGATATTTGATATTTGTTATTAAATTCATTGAAAATGCTAAACAAAGGTTTCTAGCATTGGATTTGATCTTTCAATCTTCTACTGGCAAAGCAAAGGTCTTAACCACTACACTATGCAGTTTTCAAACAGACTTGATTTACACTTGCAAATGCAATTTTTGGTAAATCAACTCCAAAATCTATACAGGCCAACTACGATATATCTACAGATTAACCAC